AGATGCTGCCAGAGACCGAAACTGGGAGCTTGCAGGTGCAAAACCTTTCTCCCCCCTCACAGACACACACTCCCCAAGCCAACCCCCACCAGGCCACCCTGGGGAACCCCACCCAAGAGCAGAGCGATCACCTTTGACGCGCTCCTCGTTGGCGAACTCCTTGCAGTCTTCCTTGAGGTGGAGAATTATTTTCGTCCCTGTTTGAACTCCAGAGGCTTCCGAGATCTCAAATGTCCCAGAACTAGGATTAGAAAACCGTTTCCTTAATAACAATTTGAACAACTTATTTCACTAAAACAATAATGTTACAGTATACATATCCATGTTTGTTAACTGATGTGGTTAAACAATTTTTTTAAAGTAAAAAACAACAACACTAGACTGAGTTTTAGCACACATGAAATACTGATGAATAGCCTTTGGACTATACTGCAACTTAAATAGAATACTATCTTTAGAAAGATTTTTTTCCTCCAAAAGCATTTTATTTTAAAAATCCAATTTAAATTGAAAAAATCTGATTTAAATTTTTAAAAAGCCAAGATTTCTGCCTGCAACCTACACTTCCTCCTGCCTGCCGCCCAGGCTTGCCCAGGTCCCTCGGGAGCACCACTTACCCATCCGAGTGCCAGCAGTATCCAGGGCTGCCTGGCTCTGCTGACTGTGAGAAAACTTCCACCCGATCCGCCACCATGAAGGCCGAGTAGAAGCCCACTCCAAACTGGCCAATGATCCTGCTGCCGGCTTCCGCCTGGTTCCGCAACGTGTCCAGGAAGGCCTGTGAACACAAAGCCCCTTGCTTGCAGCCAGGCTGCCCTGACAGATGTCTAGCCACTTCCCAACAACTCAAATGTGGGTCACCAATGTGCCAGGTGCCAGTGCCCCCTCTCCTTGTAGCCTCAGGGATTGCTCCGCCCTGGAACTGTGGCAAGCCTAGCTGCACCCCCAGAGCCTGCACCCGCTGCCCAAAAGCCTCCTGCCCCGTTACCTTGGAGCCAGACCTGGCGATGGTCCCAAGATTAGAGATTAGCTCCTCCTGGGTCATCCCGATGCCTGTGTCCTGCAGGGAAGAGAATGGCAAAGACATCTCTGTCGTGTCCTGGCCCCCACTTTGGGAGAGGGAGGGCAACGCTCCCCCACCTGCACAGACTCGGGCAAGAGAGACATTTCACAGCAGCATTGCTTCTATCTGTTTATGAAAGATCAGCTCTGATCTGAGCAAAGCACCAGAAGGTTGGTCTATGGGGTCCAGCCCAAGGTCAGAAGTTAAGTCAGGGCCAAATCCCACCAGACACCAAGCTCATTGGGTAGCTGTGGCCAAGGCCACGTCTCAAGCTAGGCAGAATCCCCACACCAGTCCCCCTTGGGACAGAGGCAGCAAAATCTCTCCGGTCCAGAGACCTTCCTTGGCAGCCCTGGCCAAGGAGTAGGAACAAATAGAGAAGTCTGGGGAGTTCTGGCGCAAGTCATCCACTCGGCAGCAGTACCTGGATGGTGATGGTTCCTTGTTTGGAGTCTGTCTCAAGGTGGATTTCCAGTTCTGGCAGGATCTCCCCTTTGGACATCAGCTTGTGGCGCAATTTTTCTAAAGCATCACTGCAGTTGGAGATCAGCTCTCGGATAAACACCTGCAGGCAGAGGCCACACTGATGCAAATGGGCACCACAGAGACAGCAGGGGAGCGGCTCTCGAGTGTGGAGCAGCGCCCCATCCCAGATGGAAGCGGGTCATGCCTTCCACCCCCACTAGCCAAAGGCAGGGGAGACTCCACACACTGTAGCAGCAGGCATCCCCTAGAGCAGAGCTTTCCAAACTGTATGTTGTGATGTGTTAGTGTGTCAGCTGCAATAATGCTGGTGGTCAACAAAAGAGGTTTAAAGACTGTCTCAAGGCAAATCTTTAAAAATGTAGTATAAACACCAACAATTGGGAAACCCTTGCCTGCGAGTGCTTCAACAGGAGAACAGCCTTTATCAAAGGTGTCATGGGCTTTGAAGACACTCAAACTCAAGACACAAGGGAGAAATGAGCTAAGAGGAAGGCATGCTTGGCAAATCCACTCCGTGATCAACTCCCACCCGGAAACCAATGTCCCCACTGTGGAAGGACGTAAGGATCCAGCATTGGCCTCCACAGTCCCTTACGGACTCATTGTTAAAACCGTGTTTATGGAAGACAAGCTACGAGGGATCGCCAAAGAAGAAGAAGAAGGTATGTCATGTGAATGCTTCCTACGCTCATCCCAGAGCTGGAAAGGGGTTAGTTTAACCTCCGGTTTGCTAGTAAAACTGAATTGCTCTGTCATGAAATGATGCACATCTAAAAAGTGTGTCACCAACATGAAAAATTTGTTGGAGCTACCCTGGATTTGCAAGCACACTGCACTGCCGCCCCAGTCTGATCTGACTCCTCAAGCCCTTCAACTCACTCCCTTTCCTGGGAGCCTGTTCTGGTCCTTGCAGTTCCCAGGAGTTGGAGGGCTTCAGGGAAGCTCCACGGACTATGGAGTGTGCAGCTTTGAGGAAAGACATGTTGGGCAAGGCACTACACCAGCCATATTCCCTAAGAGGTACAAGGACAGCTGCAGAACCCACTGCAGAAGGGGTGCAGCGATGCCCTCCAAATGTTTGCATTTGGGAAGTTGCTTCAAATTAAGGTGGCAGCCACTACCAGGGCTCAGAATCCCCCAACGAGTAGTTATAGAGTCAAGCCAGCTCAGCAGGCATGGGCAGAGACAGGCGCTGGCTGCAGCCCTGCAAAAGGACCCTTGGGATGCACCAGGGCAGGAGCGGCCAGCCTACCTCCTTCTCCGAGTAGAGAGAGCGGGCGACGATATCCAGCAGCTCCTTGGTCTCTGCTTGAAACTCGTGTCTGGAGGCAGAACCTGCAAGATGGAGAGGAGAGGAAAGTGCTGCTGCTGCTGTTCTCGGCAAAGGGTTGCCCCTTTGCCCCCACAGCAGGGCCCAGGACAGGGCGTGGCTTGCCTCCAAGGGAGAGGGAGCCTGACCTGGGACTGCCTCAGGGTTGCTGGTCAGTCGATGCAGCGGAGGGGCCTCCTCGTCACTCTGGGCAGCTTGTGAGCTGTAACTCTTCCTGGACGCCCAGCTCAGCCCTGGAGGCAGCAGCGGAGGGGCCGGTCGGGGCAGGAGTACGGCCCTTGGACCTGAAACGGAAGAAGCATTGGGTGGTGGGCCAGGGACCCTTCTGAACGCGGAGCTTTAGAGGATGCCAACTGCTGTTATAAGAATTCTAAGGTCTCCAATATAGAATAAATGTTCATAAATGTACAAGGCAAATGCACATATGTAAGTATATACTCCACATGTCTGAAATGGTACCGGAGAGCAATCCTGAAGCCATTTTGACTCTCCCAAATTGACCTCAAATATTTCTCTGTAAGGAGGAAGGAAATGGGAGCAGCTTTCCAATGGTCTTTGGACTTCGCCTCCTTCTGTGATGTATGTATGATGTTTTGGGGGGTAGTCTTGGACTACAGGGTGGGCTATTTCAAAAGTCTTTATAGAGTCCTGTGCACCATTGTTCTGGGTCTCTCTTGTCTCCTTGCAAGGAGGGAGGGAACTCTGTTGCAACAGTTTATTCTCTGTTAACAAAGATCAGTCTTACTAGCTGCTTTGATTCTCAATATACACTGGTTGGCCTCTGCTTTCTCTAGACGGGGAGAATTCGAACTGTGGTTCCCAACGTGGGGTACACACCCCATGGGAGATAATTGATTTTTAAGGGTAGCAATTCAAGAAAGAGTTACAGTGGTACCTCGGGTTAAGAACTTAATTCGTTCTGGAGGTCTGTTCCTAACCTGAAACTGTTCTGAACCTGAGGTACCACTTTAGCTAATGGGGCGTCCCGCTGCCACCACACAATTTCTGTTCTCATCCTGAAGCAAAGTTGTTAAGCCGAGGTACTATTTTTGGGTTAGCAGAGTCTGTAACCAGAAACATCTGTAACCCGAGGTACCACTGTATTAACAGTGAATGGCCTTTTAGGCTTCCTCCACGTGAACAGGAATTCACTTTTTGAATAATAAGGAGGAGAAGAATAATTAAACGGGGATCAGGATTTGAGAGATGCTTAGGTGGGGCACGGCCAAAAAAACGTTGGCATCCCCTGAATTAGACGTCTTTATTTTGTGACGCCGCCCCCGGGCCAGATCCGCGGCGGGGACGGGCATGGCGCGGCCTGCGGGGTCAGAGGGGGCGGGGGGTCGCCAGGGTCACGCGGCGCCCAGGGAAGCAGCCGCCGCCGCCTCCTCCTGGGGCCTCTCCAGGGCCCGGCCTCCCTCACCTGCTCCCGCCGCCGCCGCGGCTCCCGGGCGGACCAGGAGGCGGAGGAGGCATCGCCCGCCGCGCAGCACCTCCAACCTCGCCATCGCGATTCCCCTCACGCCGACACTTCCGGCGCGGGAATAGCGTCACGCGAGACGTAGCCGGCGCTCCCGTGACGTCGGTGCGCCTCAGCCCCGCCCCCCTCGCCGGGCGCCGGAGCGAGGCGCATGCGCTCTTCCGGCGCTCGCCAGGCCCCGCCCCTCGGCCGGACCGGTCGGAAGGAGCGCCTGCGCCCCCCGAGGTAAGCCGCGACGGCGCCCCTGGGCATGTGCAGAGCGCCACCAGGAGCGGGGCAGGGGGCGCTGGAAGGAACCCCGGGCGTGGAGGCGGAGGGAGGGCGCCCTCGGGGCTGCCGAGGGGCTCCGGGCCCGGCTCCGCCTGGGCGCCCCTTTCGCCTTCCGGGCTCCGGACTACAACTCCCAGCAGCCCCGGCAGAGCGGCCCCGCAGGGGGATCATGGGAGTCGTAGTCCGAAGGCCTGCAGGGCCCGGGGGGGCGGAGGAGGAAGAATTCCCCACCCGCCGCAAGGAGCCCGCCTCCTCCGGGCGCGACACTCCCAGCCCGGGACGCCCCCCGGTGCCTCCGCGGTCCCGACCCGGGGGCTCCGTCGGCGGCAATGGATTGGGCCCCTTCCTGGAGGAGAAGGACGCTTCTGGGGGCGGCTAAGCATGACTGAGCCAGCCTCGAGCAGCAGAGACCATATTATCATTTTCACCACTGTTAGCCGTGATGACTGTTATTAACTATTTCAACCCATATGACGACTATAATTATTAATTATTTTATTAATTATATTAAATATAAATATATTATTTGTAGGCAGAGCTCATCCTCTAGAAAGTGTTCCACTTTGTGCTCCAGCTGTTTTTGCCTACAATTCCATATCTGCCTGGTGCTAGTCAGGATGATGGGGTTGTAGCCAAAACTCTGGAGGCACAAGTGGGAACACTGCTCTGAAATGTTCCAACTGGCCCCAGCTGTTTTGAACTACAATTCCATCATCCTCATGGTCTGCTAGGATTGGGAGTTTAGCCAAAACAGCTGGAGGCCCAAGGTTGGGAAACACTGCTCTAGAATATAATAGCTTACTAGGGAAATGCCGAAGTTGCCCTTTGGGGTGCCTCAGGGTCAATTTCTATGGTAGCCCGTATGGTTGTACGGGTGTGTATGTATGTATCTCAATTTCAACTCATGAGCTTTTGCTGCAATCTGCTCTGATTGTATATTTCATCTTGTATGAACGCTGTTTTTATTTGTGTTGTGCAAGCTGGTCTTTGACCGTAATGAATTATCTATCTAATATAATTATATTAATTATATATTATAATTATTAATTATGCTAATTATAATTATTAATTAATTTAAAAAACAACTGTGCACAAATGAATTCTGTGCGAACCCCACGAACTGTAGCAATGAAAGCACCGCTCTGAATGCTGTTTGCTGGGCAAGGCTCCCCGCAGGCGTTGGGTTGGCCGCTGTGGGTCTGGACCAGGGCGGCATTTGTTTGGCCTGATCCAGGCCCCCTTGTGTGTGGCAGGATCCGAGCTCCTTCCCCAAAGAGCCAGCTAGGATGGAGAACAAAGACCTGGAAGCCGAGATCCACCCGCTGAAGAACGAGGAGGGCAAAGGTCCCGAAGGCCTGGCCAACTGCACCCAGAAGGAAGCAGCCCCCAAGAAGCTCAAGCGGCTCTCGCGATGGCGCACGGCAGCCTTCTTCCTCTCCCTCTTCCTGTGCCTCACGGTGGTGTTTGCCTTCTCCTTTATCATCCCGTGTCCAGTGAGGCCCATTTCCCAAAGGATGTGGAGCAGAACTTACGAGGACACAGGTGAGTGCCTGGGCGCAGGGGCCGCAGCTGTTCCTGGGGGCCCATGGGTGCTTGCGGCCCATCGCTGAAGCCCCCCATTCTGGCCTCTTTGCAGCAACCTACGCGTTCCTGGCCATGCAGGACGTCAACAAGGACCGGGTCCAGGACGTCCTCTTTGCCTTCAAGGCTGCCAGTGCCAGCAGCAACAGCACAAACAGCTCTTGCGCCAGCCAAGGTGAGGGTTCCTGGGGCTTGAGTGTCTCTGCAGAGGCTGCTCCTTGGGGGAGAGAGGGGAGGAGGCCGCCGGGGCTGAATGGGCTGCTCCTCTTCCTCCAGGCTTGGCCTCCCCCTGTGCCTTCCTGGCCGCTCATTCAGGCACCAACGGCAGCACGCTCTGGCAGAGGCCTGTCGCCCAAGAGCTCCTGCTGATGGACTGCTCCAGGGAGCAGGATCACACTCCAGCCTGCCTCATTGTAGGGGAGCCGGACATCCTGGCAGCCATCGACCTGGAGACAGGTAGGCAGGTGTCCAGCAGCCCCTTGCCCAGAGCGTCACGGCAAGAGGCATGCAGGCAACCTTCCTGGTGCGATGAGGGGGTTGGGGGTGGTCTTGCCAAAGGCAAGGTGGTTCCTTTCAAATGAGATTCGTGAGCTCCAAAATACGCAAGCGAGTGCGGAGATTAAAATTTTTATTCTAAAACAGCAAGCAATGTATACATAGCAAGCATGCACTTCAGTCTGCCACTTGGAAACCCTCAAGAAGCGACAAAGTGACTCCCCCAGGTAGGTAGCCTCAGTTTGCAGGGCCCTGCAGCCGATCAGTCCGTGCACAAGCTTCAGAGAAACTCTGCCCAAACTGTCCCATTTTATAGATAGCCACCCCCTCCCAATGCCTCACTTTCTCAAAACAATGTCCAACATCAAAGAAGGTACCCAGCATTATTTTGGGATGCGTCCAAGGGAACAGGGGCAATTGGCAGGCCCCTTCTGGCCCCAGCCCACCGGCCGGCAGCCAGGTGAACTCTGGTCCTTGGATCGGCATGTAACTGCGACCCGAACTTCAGAAGCTGGCCACGCAAGCCAGCAGAGATAAGAACTCTTTGCAACGGAAGGGCAGAGAGAGGCTGTGTAAAGCGTATTTACAGGCATTTTATTCAGCATCAGGACAGAGGAAAAACATGTCTGCTCCCCTTCGTGTCCAAGCAAACAGCATAAGCAAAAGCTATACACACAAGGGAAGTTCCCAGCAGGCTGTGCTGGAATGTAAACAGGCATGTGACAAACAACAGTCATGCCTGTTCCTCTGAAGGTGGAATGGAATATCGTAACCCGTCCTCCACAGCTGATTAAGGGAGCTGCATGGGGGGCTTCTCCCAATGTTCCCAGGACATTAAAGACTGTTCTCACACCATCAAAAAACTGAACAAGAGCGAGGGAGGGGGAAGGAACAGAGGAGGCAGGAAGGGCTCTGTGTCACTAGCTCCTCAATACCTTTTGTCTTCCGGGTGCAGTGGCGTAGCGTGGGTTGTCAGCACCCGGGGCAAGGCAAGTAATTTGCGCCCCCTAACCTGTGGATTTGCGCCCCCTAACTGTGGATTTGCCCTAACCCCAGATGTTGCGCCCGGTGCGGCCGGCCCCCCCTGCACCCCCCACGCTACGCCACTGTCCGGGTGCATTTCCCATATGGGGGGGGTGTCCATTCTCATGAAGGAGTGAGGAGCACCCATCCCACTGATGGGCCACCTTTGCATCCTGCAAGTGGGCTGGCACTAAGTTAACTGGACGCAGCTTTGCTTTGGGCAGCAACAGTGAGATTCCGTTCTGCTCAGACAGACAAGAGAGCTGCCTGCTGGATCAGCCCCAGGAGGGATCAGCGACTGAGTGGCCTCTTGAGTCTAATTCCGTGAGCTCCGCTCTGCGATTGGGTGCCAGAGGCTGCTCCGCTGCCGTCCACCTTTATGCCAAAGCCAGGAGAGCATTGGAGCTCCTGTCTTCTCCTCCCTGGCCCAAATAGGACTAATTTAGCCAGCTAGCCCTGGTGATCATCTAATGTTTATTGGATGGATTTTCCCCTTAAATTGATTTTTAAATTTCTGAATTTATTGTTATCCACGTTTTATAGTGTCTTTTATGCTGTTTTTTGTTGCATCAATTAAGTGTTTTAAATTTGTTGTTGGCCACCCTGAGCCCGGTTTTCTGAACCGGGAAGGACGGGGCATAAATACAAATTTATTATCATTTCTATTCTAGCCCATATTCTGTGTTCCAAACAGAAAGTGGGCAAGAGGGAAGGAAAGGGAGAGTTGTGGCCGGGAGTGTGAGTTGGCTGCCATGGCCGAGGCCCCCAAAATGCTGGGAACGGCGGTTCTTTGTCCCCTTCCTCCCCTCACCCCACGAGGCCCTTGCTTCCTGCTTATTCCTCAGGCCAGACTCTCTGGAATGAGGCTGCCAACCTCAGGCCTAATTCGACAGTGCTGAGTCCATTGCTGAAGATCCCAGATGTCGACGGAGACAGCACCTCTGACCTTTTGGTCTTCGCTGAGACAGGAGAGGAGGTGAGCTTAAATAACTATAGATAACTATAGCGAGGAAACTTGGCATTTCTTCAGCATTGCCATGCAAGCCTCTTTAAGACTGAGCAGGCAGTGGCGGCGGCAGGATAGCTCAGCTTCCTCCCCAGGTGCAAGAATCCCATGGCCTTCGCTTGCTCTGCAGATTCAAGCCCACTTCTATTCAGGAAAACATGGCACCCAGATTGGATCCATTGGGACCTTACATCTTCCGGGAAGAGTCGGCCACCTCATGCAAGTCACTCCGAAGGACTCCCACTACGTGCTGCTGTACACAGGTGAGTCCTTCCCCCTCTGGAGTCTTGGCCCAGGGGTCCCTGCCAAGGGCGGGGTCCTCTATGGAGAAGGGCTGTCCTGAGACAATCTTTGGAGTCTGGCGAAGACGCTGCTGCTTGGCTCACCCGACTCCCTTCTTCCCTCAGCAAAGGCCCTTTACGCCTACTCTCTGAAAGCGCTGTGCCAGATTGCGTTCAGCTCTACTGCCCACAGCAGCTCTGGTCTGACGGAAGATCCACTCTGGGAGATGGCGATCGACAGCGCCACGCGCCAAATCACCTTGCTCAGGTACCGCTTGTAGGGCTTCCAGCAGGGGCGGGAGGTGGGGTTGACCATTGGGGGGCTTGGGGAGAATACGTAGCGTTCAGAGCAAGCCGGATGGGAACTTGGGAAGAACTCAGTTCATGTCTGAGAGCAGCAAGTGGGGTTGAGAGAGAGAGGTGGTGTTGCTGTGAGCCAAAAAGTCGCCAGTTCAGTTGGTGACCTTGTATTAGGAAGCCCCAGTGCTTTGTTTCTTAGAAAATGTTTAGGGGTACTCTCATTTTGACTCAAGTTCAAACCAGGAAAAATAAATACGGTAAATGGACAAAAGTACAAAGAACATGCATGACAGCGGGAAAGGAAGCCGCCATCAGAGGTGGTAACAACAAAATGGACCAATCACTGTGCTAGATTCCAACTCCTGCTTCACACATTAAACACCCGCTTCCGTCTGAGACTCAGGAAATGCCATGACAGAAAATGAGGCTGCCATCGGAGGGAGCAGCAGAACTGACGATTCACCAGGCGAGAGAAGAAACTAATTTGTTTTAATAAAAATTAGTTTATTCCCCCGCTAGATTCACAAAATGTTTAGGGGTATGCGTACCCCCAGAAAAAAAACACTGGGAAGCCCCCACCTGTAATACGGAAATACTGGCCCACCTCGCATGGTTGTTGTAAGTTCTACAGAGAAGAAGGTGCTTCTTTCCCTTCGTCAGAAGAGCCCGTCTTCTGGGGGGTCAGGAGGGCAATGGGGGTCTCTCCCCGCCAGCCTCCTCTTGCCCTCATTGATGTCAGCTGGCACAAGCGCCCCCTGCAGGCCCAGCTGAGCAATGACCTGCGCTCTCGGTCCCTCCCTGTTTAGCACGGGAGAAATCCGCTACCTGACAAAGATGCCTGTGTCTTCGAGCGCCGATTTTCTGGTTTCAAGATCGAACATGATTGAGCTGGTGGACGGGCAGCGCTTGGGCTCGATGTGGGTTACAGAGACACCGCACATCCTAAGGTAAGGGGTGCCAGCTTCTGCCAAGAACCATGACCTGCGAGGTCCGACTCTGGCTTGTGCCTCGTCCTAAGAGGTGCAGGGAGAGTGGCCTGAGCTGTGACTTCCCGCGGGAGGGAGAGGGAAAAGGAGGGCAGGCCAGCCGGTAGTTTTGCCATGCGTGAGGCTCTGAGCAATTACCGTATTTTTTGCTCTATAAGACTCACTTTTTCCCTCCTAAAAAGTAAGGGGAAATGTGTGTGCGTCTTATGGAGCGAATGCAGGCTGCGCAGCTATCCCAGAAGCCAGAACAGCAAGAGGGATTGCTGCTTTCACTGCACAGCAATCCCTCTTGCTGTTCTGGCTTCTGAGATTCAGAATATATTTTTTCTTATTTTCCTCCTCCAAAAACTAGGTGTGTCTTGTGGCCTGTTGCGTCTTATAGAGCAAAAAAATACGGTAATTACAGGTGGGCTTCGCAGCCCAGAGGAATTTGCCAACAGTGCTCCTGAGCGCAGGCAGAATGCCCAAGGGAAGAGAAGGGCTTATGCAACTGGGAAGGGAGCAGGGGCTTCCCCACAGCTTTCTGGAGATAAATCCCTTTCTCCGCTTCCCTCTTTAACCAACGATTTCTTCCCCCTTTTCTGGAAGGATGGGGTGGAGGAGGGAGAGGTCCAGTGTGCTGGTCAGGGCTGCTAGGAACGGCTCATTCAGCTCCTCATCTCCCTCTTGCAGCGAACCTGTGCTTGGAGCCTACAGGCCGGACGAGGTCGACGTTATCGTTATGACCAGAGACTCTTCCAGGAAGAAGGTTTGTTTAAAGGCCCACATGGGGTCCCTTGCAGCAAAGGCAGAGTTTTGTCCTTGTGTTGCCACCCTCCAGGCCTCTTGTGAAGTAGGGGCGTGGGGCACAGAAAGAAGGGCCTCGGGTGACAGTCGCAGGGTCTCTGTCAGTTCATATGGGGAGAGGCAGACCTTGGGGCATTGAAGGCTTTTAAACCAGTCCTTTGAATTAGGCCCCAAAACTGATTGGCAGCCGGTGCAGTTGGGCCAGAGTTGGCAATACATGCTCAGCCCGCCTTGCCCTGCTGAACATCGTGGCCACTGAATTCTGCAGCAGCTGAAGTTTCCAAAGCTGCTTCAGAGGCAGTCGCAGGTCGGCCGCATTGCAGTAACCTAACCTGGAGGTTACAGGAGGACAGATGACAGAGGTTAGGCTGTCCCAGTGCAGGTGGGGGCGCGGCTGGGCCACCAGCCAAAGCTGAAGGAGGCCCCAAGCCACAGCAGTGCACCCAGGAGGACCCCAAGTTGCGTACCTGCTCCTTCAGAGAGAGATTCACCCCCTCAAAAGCGCCACCTCCCACCCTCAGGACTTCGGTGGCTCCTTAAAGATGAGCAAATCTGGTGAAGGAGGGTCCGAAGTTGTGCATTTTATAGGTGTGATGGTTAGGCTTGGTCCTGGCCTGCCATGGAGCAGCTTCTGGGTGCTGAGAGCCTTTGCCTCGCCCAGCACCCCGTGGCAGAAGCACCCGGAGCAGGGGCTGCAGAGGGCAGCCTGCTTGGGGGCAGGGGCTGCAGAGAAGAGCGCTGAGGACCTGAGGAGGCAGCACCCTCTAAGGCAGGCCTCTTCTCCGCAGGTCATGGTCATGGAAGGCACCTCCGGAGACATCGAGTGGGAGGCCGGCCTGAAGCTGCTCTCGGGCACCGACAGCCCCCGGCCAGCCACCCTGTCCACCTTGGACCGCAGATCGGTCTTCCTCTTCTGGGGCCAGTACCAGAGGGACGCAAACGGAACAGTAAGCGGAGGGTGGCATGCTGTAGCAGGAAGGGAATGCAAAGAAACTGTTCCTTCTGCCAGCTGGCTTTGGACCGGGGGGGGGGGGTAGCTGAATGGAATTTGCCTTTAGGAATCTCTAGCTCAGTTGGTAAAGCCTGAGACTCCTAATCACACGGTCGTCGGTTTGAGCCCCACGTTGGGCAAAAGAGTGGACTTTGCATGCAGTTGGAGAACGCCAGCCTTCCCACAGATCTGGCTTTGTGTGCCCGGGGCGACGGTCACCCTGGCACAGGGTTGCCCCGGTGCCCCTGCCCCTCTCCTCTGCCACCGCGTAACAGAATCGCCTTCCCTAATTGCCACAACCTCGCCAGCGCACATTTCATGCAGGGAATGCGCTGTCTCCGTGTGTTATGGGGGGTCTTGCTGGCGGGGCCTGCTCTGCGCAGTTTGCCCTGGCCTGGTGCCTGGGCTGCAGCTCTCTTCTCTCTTGGCGCCAGGGGTCCTGGGACAGCGCCCAGCAGCAACTGTACATGTTCCACCCCGCCTTGCCCAATGTCCTCCTGGAGACGAGCAACGTCACGGAGCACATCGTGGCCTTTGAGGGTAAGTCGGTGTCACGGTCCGGTTCACGGGCGATCGAAGTCCCGGCAGGGGACGTCAGGACCGGGGGCAAGATGGCGGGATGGGAGCAGGAATGGGGGTCCAGAAGCCAGGATTCAGGAAGTCAAGGGTCTGAGGGTCAGGAAGCAAGGAGTCAAGAAGCTGAGGTTCAAGGATTAGGAAGCAAGGAATCAAACGCAGCAAGGCAGGGAGCGTGTTGCTGTGGCCAAGAGCCGAAGGGAAATGCTGACCTTATATCCCTTCCCGGCTCTTGCCACCAGGTGCTGTGAGTTACCAGTCGGCCTCACCTGTGTGGTCGCGCCTTGCCTCCCCAGAACAAACTTAGGAAGGCCCCAGTCCTGCAGAGTCCTATTGGTCCCAGGGCCTGGCTCCTGCACACACGCCTGACAGTCAGGGGCCTCCCCATGCTGGTGGGGCGGCTTCGAGGAGGAGGAGGCTGCCGCTGCTGCTGCTGCTGCCTACCCCCCCAATCCTTCACCCTCTTTCACTTCCAGGGGTGCTCTTTGAGCGGAGCCGCCACGCCTGCTACGTGCTCCTGACGGGGCCCCAGGTAGGGCAGGCCCCCGGGCAAGTGATGCTGTCGAAGTGGAAGCTGAAGGAGGCCATCGCCGGCAGCCGCGTGATCTGGCTCAACCAGGTGGCGCACAACAGCGAGCAGAGCGTCCGGGAGCGCTTCCTCAGGACGAGGTACCGCAGCCCCCAGTGAGCGCCGGCAAGGCTGGGGTGCGGGGAGAGGACGACCCCGGAGGACCCGAGGCCGGCAGAGGCTTCCCGCAGTGCCAGAAGGCAGAGAAGAGCCACCGCGAGGCTGACGATGGGCAGGGCTGGCATGGCAGGAGGGGGCAGAGGCGGCCTTCCCAGCGCTGCTCCTCGCCCGCACCCAGGGCCCTTGCCCTTGGGGATTCCTGCTGCAAAGGCTACCTCTCTCTGTCTTTGTGGAGGCCTGGATTGGGGGGCAAGCAAGCATGTGGCCCCTTGACTGGCACTGGAAGGCTCCCCCACCAATGGACTCTCCTGGGGGGGAGGAGAGGGCTCAGCACCCCACACTTCACTGGGGTTGATGTCTACAGCCCCCACTCCCTTGGCTGCCCAGCTCCTCCTTCCTCCCTCTCGCTGCTGCCTCCACCGGCTGGGAGCCAGCAGGGAACCAGGGAGTCGTTTGGGGGTGGGGGCCTTGAGAGCTCAGTGGGACCCTAGCCTGCAGCGCTCAGGGGCAGCAGCCTGGGGGGAGGCAGTGGGGCTCTCCCTCACTCACCCTTCCCCAGGCGCCTGCTGGCCTTGGCTTCAGGCCCCACTTGGCGCAGGGAGGAGGAAGGGGGTTGGCTGCTTTGCACGGGGAAGGGCCCGAAACCCGCCCCCCACAGCATCCTTTGCCCAGGCGGCCCACCCCCCACCGCCAGGACTGGAGCCGACGGGGCTGCTTTTCCGCCTTTGGGGATTTCTCGGAAGGTTTTTCCTTTGGGCTTTGGTGGTGGAGGTTTCGCACACAGGGCCACCTCTTGCGCCTGAGGAGGCAGGGACTTGGCCAGCTCGCTGCTGCTGCTGCTACTGTGGTTTCAATAAATCCTGGTTCCTTGTCCACAACCTCCGTTTCCCGTCTGTCTCGGGGCTCCTGCATTCAGGTCGCCAGAATGAGCTGGGCCCCCAAACCTGTGGCATTCACTTGAGGGGGGGGGGGAGGAAGGAGGCGCAATGGGCAGAGGCCCCTCCTCTCGACACGTTCTCCCCCTGCACATGCACTCTTGGGGATGAAGAGGCCGTGGCTCGCTTGCACCCCAGGCCCAAATTCAAATCCTCCGGACTGGCAAGGAGAATCCAGTGACCTGGTTCTGTGCCAAATCCTGTTTGGGGGGGTGGGGGTTTCAAAGAGAGACCTCTGTGTGGCAGGGCAGCCCCCTCCTTCCTCCAATAAGCCCTTAGGTACCTGGAAGCGTCTCTTGACACGAGGGGAGCGTTTGCAGGCTCAGGCAAGTAAGAGGACCTCTGTGCTTCGGCAGAGTTTTCCCTGTGCAGGTTTTCAGTGAGGAATCGGTTTGCTTTCTGCCAAGTCAGGCCGTTGGTCCCTACGGCCTGCTGCTGCCTACGCTGCCAGGCAGGAGTCGTCCAAGGAGCCAGAGCTTGGCTGGGAGAGGCTGATGGGAAAGGGCTTCTGCATGCCAAGCAGCCGCTCTGCTCCTGCACTTTGTTCCATGCTTCATCCCCTGGGAGCAGGAGCTGGAGGAGGAGTCAAGGCTACTGCAATTAATCCAGAATGCGGCAGCCAGACTGGTGACTGGGAGCAGCCGCTGGGACCACATAACACCGGTCCTGAGAGATCTGCATTGGCTCCCAGGACGTTTCCGAGCACAATTCAAAGTGTTGGTGCTGACCTTGAAAGCCCTAAACAGCCTCAGCCCAGTAGACCTGAAGGAGCGTCTCCACCCCCATTGTTCTGCCCGGACACTGAGGTCCAGATCCGAGTGCCTTCTGGCGGTTCCCTCCTTGTGAGAAGTGAAGCTACAGGGAACCAGGCAGAGGGCCTTCTCGGTAGTTCCACCCGCCCTGTGGAACGCCCTCTTGTCAGATGTGAAGGAAATAAGCAGCTCTCTTCTCTTTAAAAGACATCTGAAGGCAGCCCTGTTAAGGGAAGTTTTTAAGATTTAGTGCTGTATTGTTTTTAACACTCTATTGGGAGCCGCCCCAGAGTGGCTGGGGAAACTCAGCCAGATGGGTGGGGTATAAATAAATTATTATTATTATTATTATTATTATTATTATTATTATTATTATTATTATTAGCACAGCGGCACCAGAAAAAGAGCCACAGCTGGAACTGGCCCTGGCACCAAGGGCTCGGCTTGCGCCCTCTCGGTTGTGCATGTGCACGCACACACATACACACACACAACCCCCCACGTCCCTGTTGTGGAGGCCAGAGGGGGTCCCGGCAGAGCAGCTCCTGGCTGACTTCCAGCCCTCGGCCCCCATCTGCTCCGAAAGTGCTTTGCTGGCATCTGTTCAGCGGTGGCGGCAGCATGCCACGCTGGGATTAGCGAGAGGGAAACGGCAGCAGTGCCAGGCTAAGAGGATGCCCTGCCCCAGTTTCCCCCAGGCGTGAGGACCGGTGGGCCAGGCAGAAATGTTGGGGGCAAAGCGGCCCTCTTGCAGCACAGGCCTGCCAGGGGAATGAGAGAGACTCGGCTGCAACCCCCTGCTCAAAGATGGGGCCAAGTGGGGTTTTAAGGCTCTCTAGGTTCTGCTGGGGAAATGCAATGGGAGAGCGGAGCTTTGCAGCCCCTACTAATCTCCTTACTGGGCAGATGGCAAATACCTCCCAAGCCCCAGAAATGCGGAAAGATCCTTGCAGGGGATTTGGGGCTGAGGGGGGGTGGCATGGAGCAGATGGACACGGCCGGTCCCTGAGCTCTTGATTATTTTCCCCAAGGGCTACATGGGTGTTAGAATTGTAGAGTTGGTAACCTCAAGGTTGGGGTACTGCAACACGTTCTATGTAGGGCTGCCTCTGAAGACGGTTCGGAAACTTCAGCTGGTGCAGAATTCAGCGGCCAGGTTGCTCACCGGAGCAAGACGGCTTGAGCATCTTACACTGATCCTGGTCTGACTGCACTGGCTACTGATTAGTTTCCGGGTCCAATTCCAAGTGCTGGTTTTGACCTATAAAGCCTTAAACGGCTCAGGACGGCAATACCTCAAGAACCACCTCTTTCCATATAAACCTACCTGGACCCTGAGATCATCTTCTGAGGCCCTCCCTGTTTGCCACCACCTCGAGAAGTCCAGAGGGGGGCAACACGAGAACGGGGCCTTCTCTGCAGTAGCTCCCTGTCTGTGGAATGCTCTCCCCAGGGAAGTTCGCCTGGCGCCTTCACTATACACCTTTAGGTGCCAGGCCTTTGGATGATCCAATTTACATCCTATGCTCTTTTAAAATCTGTTTTTTGGGGGCGCTGGGCTGTTGCGTTGTTTTTGTTTTTTATTAGGTATTTTGTGGTTTTATATATTGATTTTATTCTGTGAACCACCCTGAGATCCCCAGGGAATAGGGCAGTATATAAACTCTATGAAGAAGAAGAGTTGGAAGGGACCCCCCCCCACAAGAGTCATCCAGCCCAGCCCCCGCAACGCAGGAATGGCACTGTGGGGGGTCTCATCCGCTGCTCCCCCCCCCATTGCACGCAGTCTAGGCAGGCCACCCCATTCCTTGCAGCTGCCTGAAGCCAGACATCTTCCCTGCCCCACACATGGCTGCCCCCCCCCTGCTCAAACCCACGCCACCCCCTTTGGGGAAGGAAAGACACCCCGGAGGCTCCAGAATGAGAAGCTTTTGCTCCCCTGGCCCCCACCCCTTTCTCCCTGTTGACTCCAAATGCCCCCCCCCTGCCCCCAGTTCTTTGGTTGGAGAAAGGAAGAAAAACTGACCAGCCCCCAGACTGTTCCTACGGGTTTTTATTGGATTCCATCTTTGCAGAACAGATCTTGCAGCAGCTGCAACCTCCTTCACACACCGGACAGGTGCTGGAAGACATCTGGAGGGCTGAGTGGGTGCGGGGGGGGGGGTGCAGAGCAGAAGAAAGTCCGGCCCTTCTTGCCTTGCACTGCCCCCTCCCCTCGGGCAGCTGCGGGAGCAAAGGACACCCCCACCCTGATCTGGGACCCATCTGGAGGCCTGGGGTGGCGTCCCTCACAAACCACCAGAGGACCCCGGGGGGGGGCACATACAAGGCCTTCCACCTCTGAGGTTTTCTGGACAGCCTGAGTCAGTTGTGCATGGGAAGGAGGGGGCCAGGAACACTGCTCAGCTGAAGGAGGGGGGCTGGGAGCAGGTGGGTGCTCTAGGCAGGGAGGGGGGCAATTCCTGAGGCAAGACTGTGTCGGGGGGGGGGCTGTGCTCCAAGAAGCAGATAAGGCAGAGGAGGTGATGCATCTGTGCTGGGCTCCTGCATCATATGGCTTTGTTCCAGTGGGGGGGGGGATACAGGAAGGTTATGAGCATCAGTCGAGGGACGTCCAGGTGAGTCAGCAGTGCTTGTCTAGGGGGGGGGGGCAAAGGCTGGCCCTTCTCCAGCCTGTGTGTGGATGGCAAGGGGAATGGGAGGGTCCTAGGTGCCACCGTCCTCTTCGCCCCCCTCCTCCACCGGGGCAGGCGGCCCCGCTTTGCTCTTGTCTTCGGCCTTTGCCTCGTGGTCCCCCTGGGGGGGCGGCAGGGCGGGGCTGGGGCTGGAGTGGCGCTGCTTCCGCATGAAAGGAAAGACCCTGCGGGGGGGGAGAGGAAGGGTCCGGTCTGACACTGCAGAGAGGCAATCTCCCCCAGCCCCACTGCCAGCACCCTCCCTGAAGTGGGGGGCACTTGCAGGCCCCCTCCCCATCTGCTCACCGCTTCTTCGTCTCCGGGGGGATGACAGCCTCTGCCAGCAGGTTCTTGTAGAGATCAGACTTCAGGAAGCGAGGGTAGGAGTCCTAGCGGGGAAGGGGGAGAGCTCTGGCGTGACTGGGGGGGGGGCGACGATGGCCAAGGCAGCCCCAGCCCAGCCCTGAGCCCCCACCCCCAGGATTGCTCCGCACCTTCTTCATCAGCATGTAGATGTGCATTTGGGCGTCATCCATGACGTAGCGGTGGGGGGTCTTAATGCCTTCCAGAGTCCTCTCCATTGTCTTGCTGTCGATGTTCACCCAGCGGGTGGCCCCGGGGGCCAGGAACTGCCTGGAGGGAGCAAGAGCTGCCTTGGCATGGACGGGGGGGGGCAGAGAGCTCCTGGCATGGGTGGGTGTAAGGGTGCAAATACCCAGAGTGTGGGGGGTCAGGTGGGATTGCTATGAGGAATCATGAAAAATGAAGCAAGCCATTGTGTCCACGATGAAAGCATGGCGTTGACTGGATTTGATTCATTGACAATAGTTTCTGATCGAATCCCACAGGCCTCTCCACCTCTGCCATTTGCTTTCTCTACGCCTGACAGGCACGTATAAGCATTCTGAAACACAGGCCAGTTGCTTCACCAGGCATCCTCAGTACATAAAGTTAACAGGTTACTTTGATATAGTTTGTTAATCTTTAGATAGATCTTAAGGGCCAGGAAGAGAGTTCACAAGGAGATGGTAAATCTTGCCTCTCCTGTTTATGACCTCTGGGGTTTTGCTGAATGCATTCCTCCTTTTATTCCTATTTTATTTACTCTGGACTACTATGCATGCTCAAGTAGGAAATAGTTTCT